AGCACCGGGGAGGGGAGGGGAGGGGGGGGCTTTTCCCATGGTGATGCAGAAGCAGGAGAGTATCTTCAATCGGCCCCCAAGAGAGCGGCTGACGTCTCTTCCGGCTAAGGAGAGAACAGCTGCTGTTCTCTTATGAGCCCCCCCCCGCCCCTTCCCAATTACGATCCCCCCCCCCTTCTCAGCTGCCCTGGTTTTCGGTTCGGAGCAAGTGAACTCAAGTCGCGTCCAAGAAACCATTAAGAGCAGAAGGAGAGAGAGAGACAGAGGGAGAGACAGAGGGAGAGAGGGAGGGAGAGAGGGAGGGAGAGAGAGAGACGAGAGAGAGACGAGAGAGAGAGGGAGGGAGAGGGAGAGGGAGAGGGAGGGAGGGAGGGAGAAAGAGACAGAGAGAGACAGAGACAGAAAGAGATAGAGAGACAGACAGAGAGGGAGAGGGAGAGGGAGAGAGGGAGGGAGGGGGAGAGAGGGAGGGAGGGAGGGAGAGAGAGAGAGAGAGAGAGAGAGAGAGAGAGAGAGAGAGAGAGAGAGAGAGAGAGAGAGAGAGAGAGAGAGAGACCGCCGTTCTACATCTCTGCTCCTTTCCAGTTTAAAAAAGACCTGCTCTGTACTCCGAGGACACTCTGCAGTTTGTCTCTGAGTCCGTGGCCTTTCAGTCTAAGGGGAATGGAGATGGATACTGTGTTTCCAAGTGTTTGGAAGGCTTCGTTCCTACATTCACTACGCAGTTCTTGCAAACCCGTAGAGGACACGAGTTTGTGTTGTCTTTAACCACGGGTGGAAAATGGGGTTGCGAGCGCTTGCCGGTGGCCATCTACCGTAAATATTCATTTCAGGGGTGACATTGGAACGTAAAGCTCTTAGTTAGAATGACGTTGATGTCTAGTGCAATATAATGGCAACTCGCCGTCCCACCAAATTCAGCCTAAGTGTTCGTAGTGCCCTTTCTGCTAGCTAACACAACACCTTTAGCGCCCAAGCTGTAGTTTTGTTTTGTTGAGGTTTGGCGCCTTCAAACTAAAGAGCTTCCCGTTTGTTGGCGTCTCCTTTGCCTGCCTTTTATTGTTCCTAGACAAGCAGCTTAGTAACTTGGGAATCATCGGACTCCACAGCCTAATTAATTTCAGCGGGACCTTGCAACTCGGTCTTGAACAGCAGCTCTCCTCGGAGAGTGAGCTCCGCTGATTTCAATGGCAAGAGCCGTTTCCAGCTTGGTGGGACCCCGCGATTTAGGTAAATGCAGGCAACATAAAACCTTTCCTAGGACAGAGAGACTTTCTTTCTCTCCCTCCTGCCCCAAAACGGTCCTCACACAATGGGGGATAAATCTTACTGAATTCCATCTTCTGCGCGGTGCAGTCTGGAGGCGCAGCCGAGATGCAGTCGGCGGGAAAAGCTTCGTCTCCTAACTCCTTCGCGTCTGGTTTGCTGCGCCCACCCTTCGATTTGAAAGCAGTGGATTAGAGGTGTAATAACCCCTTGGGATCGATAAACCCCTTTCCTGATAAAACGACAGGAGAGTCAGAGTCCCAAAGTCAGGTTACGGCAAGGAAAGTGGAGACAACCGCTCCATTAAAAACTCTCTCCAGAAGTCGATAGGGCGCATCAAACAGCGAAGTTCTCAGAGTAACCCAAAGGCTCCGGAGTGGAGGACGTGCCCCGGGGGGGAGGGGAGAACCCAGGAGTTTTCCATATATTTTTTTTTCCAAATCACGACTTTTCAGAGTGCTAGAAAAAAAGTATTTCCAACAAGATCTAAACTTTTTCCTTAAGCAAAAAAAAAAGTTTATACCGAATCTCGACTTCGGAGCGAGAAGGTCGTTCTTGACAAAAGCGGAGGTGTCACCGAAGCTTTTTGCTCTTCGAATCAAAGCGTTCCGTTAGCACACAAACTTTGGAGCGGCCCTTGGACCCCGCGCCCCGGGCTGTTTTCCCCGGTTCCATCGGAGTTTTGGGGTCCCTAGGTGATTAGTGCACCACGGGGCATAGCTGAGCTTGTCAATCTCTCCACCCCCGCCCAGTTGTCCGAGTTCTGGAGGTTTTAGCGCACCTCCGGGCTCCCGCCTGGCTATCCGCAGAGATCCACGAAAGCAGCTGCCGGCACCGTCTTCCTGCCTTCCGTCGCTCAGATGGCAGCGCTTCTCCTCGGTTTTCTTCCTTGCCCCCCCCCCCCCCATCAATGGCTGAGAAAGGCAATAGACCAACAAGCTATCCCTAAGACTCGGTTTCCCCGGGAATTAAGTCTCGGGGCTTAGCGTGACTGTTATCTTGCGTGAGCAAGCCCAGAATTTGGGGGCTTAGTATTTAACGAAAGTTCTGCTGAGCATAGACAGAATGCTTTTTTTTTTTCCCCACTCCATTCATTATAACCAGCTATGCGCGGTAGGATCGGGGAGTAGGATTTGAGGGACCAACCCGTTAGTCAGCTTGGAATCCGGGAACATTTTCGGCAACTAAACTCTGGATCGACCGCCCGCCAGCTGTCAATTAGGCTAATAAACTCTCTGAGAAAGGAAAGGTCGGTCCCGGTGATCAAATTGTGAACTGTGTATTTTTTCCAGGACTTAAGGCTGGGGACAAGGGACACGAAGCGACCAGTGGAAACGCTTTGGTGGTAACAAGGTTTAGTGGGACTGGGAACGCCGGCAGCTTGAGATCCCCAATTATCCTACCAGAACTGAATTCACCCGCTTGTTCCTCCAAATTGCCTTTGACACCCATTTGCAGATGCCTGCCAGCTTCTTTTCTTTTGATCTCCTATCACTTTCACACCACTTTCTATTTAGAAGTAGAAGGTGGAAAAATAAAACTAGGAAGAGAAAAAGCGCACCGGCATCTCTATTTCTATCGCAACGAAACGACCTCTCGGTTATAGCGGCTTAGTGTAGGTGGGTATTCTCTGCTGAATAGGTGGACTGCGCTGCTTCGCGCTGTCTCCCTTGCAGCCCAGGTGTGCGGTTTTTAAACAACGGAGGGGAGGGGGAGGGAGAGCGAGAGCGAGAGAGATTGAAAAAGTATTCTTCGTCAAGAAAAGCTGAGAGAAGTTTCTAACGAAGCAAGAACGAACCACTGTGTTTTCTATTTGTCTTTCAAAAGTCGTTTTCCCACTGTCCAGGGCCCACAAGTAATTCGTTTTAGGCAGGACTGGCGCCTATGTTTTTAATGTTTGGCTTGATAGTTTTTTTTGCAGGGTTACTTAAAAGAAAGTGCCACTGAATTCAGTGGATTTACTTCTGGGCAGTTGTGTCTGAGGGTTACTTTAAATTGCAACCCTAATCTTAACTGTTTGGAAACATTATTTTTTTTACTACTTATCTTTAGATCAATCAGCGCATTCGAATAAATGAAATACACATCTGATACAAAGCCCATCTTGTTTTTACAGACCCACCACGCTGCAGTTTTCAAGGATGGTGTGTGTAGTGGGTGGGGGGTACAGTTTCTCGGCAAACAATGATTTAATATCACCGTTCCTTTTCAGTTCAGGGCTGCAACTGTGTTTGAAAGCAAAATAATTTTAGAAAGCTGGGGTTGGCAAGCGGAGAGGTTGCAGCTTGAAATGGTAAGATTCAACTTAGTGACTCTCCAAATTGTCTTGAAATAGGCAGCCTAAACTGTAAACTAGGGGAAAGTAGATTATTTGAAAAATACTGTGGTTTCGCTTTTTGAAAAAGTGAAGGGGCTACTATAAAGATTCCTTTTATAAGTGAATAGGTAGTAAGAAATTCTTCCTTTTCCACCGGAGCTTCCACCAAAATCTTCAGCAATTCTGAGTTGCTCCTGAGTTTCCTACAATTCCCCCACCCCACCCCAAGTTGGGATTTCTGAAATGGTGAAAAGACCTCAAACGAGGGGGTTCTTGCCGGTGGAGGGGGGGGTTACTGCCGTTGTTCTAGTGCCCCCGCTGTCAGTCTGCAACCAGCCCAGGCTGGATCTCGGGGGAACCCATTCCCTCTGTGTTTTGCAGTGTCAATCACAACGCATATTGCTTTCCCCTCCCCCACACCCTTCGTTCCCCCCACTCCCCGACTACCATTTAGTAACAGCCCAGCTCTGAGAGTCCGCCTCTGAGTGGCTCGCAGCAATCTGTCAACTGAGCCAGGGAGCCACCTCACAACAGATCCGGTTACTTTTGATTGACAGCGTCACCATGGCAAATAATTTGATTAAAACTATTGTCTTCTCCTTGGCAGTCCCCGAGTCAGATAACTGGACCAATCACTGCGCGGCTAATCACTTTTTCATGCCAGTTTAGAACAACATTTGGAAGGAGAGAGGCAAAGAAGAGCAAGGAGAAAGGGGGGGACGACGGGGGGGGGTAAAGAAGAGAAGAATCGGCAAGGAAAAGAGAAAGGGAAGAGAGGAGAGGAGAGAAGGAGGAGGAGGAGGAGGAGAAAAAGAAGGAAAGGGGAAGCGGGGTTGCAAAGGACTCGATTCCATGTAAGCGATCCTATGGCAGAAAGGGGGGGAAGAGAGAGAGGGAGCGCGCGCGCGAGCGAGAGAGGAACTGGCGAGCCCGGCCAGGGGGTGGGGAGAGTGAAAGTTCCACTCTTGCAAGTGCCGCGTCTCTCTCACACAATAGAGGCGCAAAGTTTGACGGTCGGAACTCGGGGACTTACAAACCAAACACGGAGCCCAAAGGTGGGGCGTCGGCGCGGGCACTGCGTGGGAGCCTCCCTCGCGCGCGAAGCTTCTCCGGCTCCATGGGCGCCCCGGCCGGGACGGGGGCAGTCGCGCTGACCTAGCCCCGGGGCTTTTTCGTTCGGAAGTCGGGCTGTGGTTGGCCGCTCCCTCGCGGAGCCCCTTTTCCCCCCCTTGGCGCCGAGCGTCGCTGGCTCCCGCGCGCCCCCCCGACCGCCTCCCCCTCGGCGTTTCCCTCACCCCCCCACCCCCAGGCGGTGCCTGCGGGGCGCCGGGTCCGGACGGCTGCCCCCTTTCGGCCAGGGTAGCTGCGATAAGAGGGCCGGCGGCGAGGGCAGGAGGGCCTTCCCGGACGCGCCACCATGTCCATGCTGCCCACTTTTGGCTTCACCCAGGAGCAAGTGGCTTGCGTGTGCGAAGTGCTCCAGCAAGGGGGCAACATCGAGAGGCTGGGCCGCTTCCTCTGGTCGCTGCCGGCCTGCGAGCACCTTCACAAGAACGAGAGCGTCCTGAAGGCCAAGGCCGTGGTGGCTTTCCACCGAGGCAACTTCCGCGAGCTCTACAAGATCCTGGAGAGCCACCAGTTCTCGGCGCACAACCACCCCAAGCTGCAGCAGCTGTGGCTCAAGGCGCACTACATCGAGGCCGAGAAGCTGCGGGGGCGACCCCTAGGGGCAGTCGGCAAGTACCGGGTCCGCCGCAAGTTCCCCTTGCCCCGCTCCATCTGGGATGGCGAGGAGACCAGCTATTGCTTCAAGGAGAAGAGCCGGAGCGTCCTGCGGGAATGGTACGCCCATAACCCTTACCCGTCCCCCAGGGAGAAGCGGGAACTGGCCGAGGCCACCGGGCTCACCACCACCCAAGTCAGCAACTGGTTCAAAAACCGGAGGCAGCGGGACCGGGCGGCGGAGGCCAAAGAAAGGTACGAGTAAGTAGAGCCGTCCTCCCTTCCGCTTCTCTGCAGAGAAAGGGCTCTGCTTCGGGGACGGTCGGGAAGGGATGTGCGAGGCTTATGCTTCGTTCCGGACCGAAGCGCGCTGCGTTGGCCCGGGAGTAAGCCTTCTTCCCTTCCGAATTAAACCCCCCCCCCGGGGTGAGGGGCTCGGGGCTGCGATTTAGGAAGGCGCCCGCAGCCTGGGAAAAGTACAAAAGAAAGGGGAACCCGGGGCTTCTCTGTCTGCACTGATTTTTTTTTCCTTTCTTTTTTTTAAAAAAAAGTTTTGGAAAAGTTAGTCTAGGGAAGGGGGGGGGACGCCTAGGGGAATCGGTTACCGCAGGGACCCGTTTGATTTATTCGAGAGCAAAATCGGGCTGTGGCCAAGATAAATATCCCCGATTCGACTTGGATTCCAAGCCACGTCTTCGGAAAAGTAGTCTAGTAGATCTGGAAGTTAAGTTTTCGATGAACGGGAGTGGAGTATTAGAAAGAACTTCCTTGAAGCGAAGCCAACTGGCGTTGTTCCTTTTTTATCTGTGTCTCTAATTTTCAATCTAGCCTAACATCCCAAAAGACAAGAAACAGTCTAATTTGTGCCAGTTAAGGCTGCCTTTCCTTCCGCCAGCTCAGAATTAAAACCCATAGAGCTCAATGAACCTGCGCTGCTGCGCTAAGGAGCTATAAAGGACGTAGCTTTTCAATTTTCATTTTAATTAGGACAGTTGGGTTTAGTGAGAGGGAGAAAGCAATGCCCCCAAATCTATAAACTGAGAAACAAATGGATCGCCATCGACCAAGATGTCACAAGCGCTGGTTTGTATGAAAAACCCTTATTTAGCCAATTGTCAATACAATAAGCAAAAAAAAAATACGTGTTTTTAATACGTCTAAATAGTACTTCACTGTCGGTGTATGCACTGCTGCTTTTAAAATGACGCAGAGAGATCTCCAGCTCTGAATGGAATACTGTATTTTTCTCAGGAGGTATTTGTGATTTGGAGGGGGGGAGAAGGGACGTGCCCTCCCGCCATCCCTTATACATTTTAATCAGAGTAGTGAGCAGAATTGAATAGCGTCCGTCCGGGGGTTCATTCCTAAATCTTCCACTGGCTTTTTCCAGTGGCAAACTCCCTCGCGTTTTTCTTAGGTGTCAGTTTAGTGGGGGAAGTGAGGTGTATATTTGAATAAGTGGTCGCTGGACTTTATTTTTTTTTTTTATCGAACTCCATCCTTTAAAAACACACCCGCCTGCACACATTTTCTTGAAAATAAATCCCAGGAGTTTCAGTACTGCGGCTTATCTATCCGGATGCAAGTTCCTTTCATTTCATTAAGACTTGCTTCCGCGTGTCAATAGGAAGGAGCTTCCAGACATTAGATCAAGTGATAGTGGGTCAAGAGTCCCCAAAGTTCTACAATATCAACACAAACAAGTTCTATTCATTTCTAAGAAACAATACAAGCCCTTCATACAGTATTCGGATATTATAGGAAAACTATTTCTCTCTCCTCCCTTCCCGCGTGCCTTTCTTTTTTTCTATTTATTTTCCTTTTTGCTGAACTTGCCTTTCTAATATATAGCAATGCCAAAGCAGGGGCCTGGGATCTTCCACCAGGCAGGAACCCTGGCCCGGGCGATTGCTTTTAAGATTTTAATACCGCAACCAGAATCACTGCTGGCTAGCCCTCTGAGTCTTTCGGTTTACTTTCAGTGTGCACCTAGCTCAGGGGTAGGCAACCTCGGCTATGCTGACTCAGGAATTCTGGGAGTTGAAGTCCATGAGTCATAAAAGAGCCGAGGTTGCCTACCCCTGACCTAGCTGGTCCCAGACCTAAATTATCTTCTGGGAGATGATTTTGTCCAAAATTGTCCCTCAACGTTTGTTCAAAGCTTGTTCGCTAGATTTGTTCTCTTCCAAGATCTAGTGCTTGGGATTCTGAGATTCTGCTAGAAAGAGAAAAAGACACCCCAGGCACCCCAAGATGTCATAAGGTGCCACATCTCCTGAAAGCAGCAAGAAGAACCCTCTCCACAAACACTGCGGAACAGGGAGAGTTTTAGGCCGAAAAGTTAAGAGAGGGGAAAAAAAACTCACATAGCACCGAGAGTCCAACAAGCAACCTTCATAATTGGATTAAGGAACTGTTGGATTAAAGAAGTCTGAATTATTCCAAACTTCCGAAAGGGTCAAACAGAAGAGTTTGGGACAAGACAGCTTGCTATTCTGCAGGTTTCAAAGCCTGCCTACTCAAGCCCTGGATGCTCTTATTGGAAAGTGTGGCCTGATGAGAAAGATTGCTCTGAAGTTCATTTCGGCCTGTTTCAGAAATAACTTATTTCACCTCGGTTAGACTTCTGAGTAAGAGCTGGGCCAGAAAGTCGGGTAAGGAAAGTTTCCAGAGTTGTGCCAACTCATTTTGGGGGAGAAGCCCCTACTTCTTCCAATCTTGTAGTACTTGCAGCTGTTTTCTAGGGGTTGCCCCGAGGACTACTGTTTTGGTAAACTCTGAATCTGTCTCTCCCTCTCCCCTCCCTTTCTCTCTCCTCCCTTTGTGGCTGAAATTGATTTGAAAATATTTTAAAAATTGATTTAGAAAACCAGGTGCAGGCAGGAAGAGAAAACTTTGCATAGTACCATCAGGCTACATTAACTACTCCACAGCCAAACGTGTGCTTTATGCAAGTAAATAATAAAGAGTTTGGAGGGTTGCCTTATGATTTTCAGGAGGCCCAGTGCAATTAAGAAAGCCCTTCACACATCCAGAGAGGGGAAATGTCAATTCTTGTACAATAACCTCCCCGGAAAAGAAATGAATTTGACCTAAAAGTAGCCAGGGACCTGGCTACTTTCATTCTTGGCACCCTCCTATCCAGTAACTAAAGGCAAAGATACTTTTCTAAGGAGCCAAATATTGGTCGAAAATCAAAAGCACAGTACCAGCTCCCACCAACATCTGGGGCTAATAAAAATGTATTATCTGCCTGATTGATTGGATCTAGTCTCTGTACTGCAGTCTGCAGTTGCTGAGCACAAATCTAGGTGGTGGTTTCTCCTGAGAAGGTGAGCTGCAGTACTGAGTTGGACAGCTGGACAAATATGTAAAAGTAGATGGGGGAGGGGGGAGTCACTTATCCAAACAGATAACACCACATTCCCAGAAAAGAGGCACAGTCTTGGGAAAGTGACACTGATAGAAAATAATAGAGTCCTAACTAGAAACCACCATTTAACACCTGTCAATCCTGCACAGTTTTAGAAAAGAGGGTTGTAAAACTTTAGATGCAGTTGCTGAAACACACAAGCAACTACCAGGTCGACTTTCATGACAACCGGTGGGCTTTGCATCCAAATGTGTTAGGATGTCAAAGGTCTGTGGGCCTTTGCCTGCTTCTTGGGAAGGATTTTACTCTTGAAGAAAAACACACAAGAATGCAGACCAAGCCTTTCCCTGAGTGGCCAAATATGGACCACCCTAGTGATGGGGGAGGAATCGCAGGTGGCTATCAGGGTTCAGACAGGAAAGGTTTCTGTTTGCAAGCAGCAAAACTGGTTCACCCCCCAGCCTCTGCAGATTTCAACCCCAATGTCTCTTCCAGGATGCAGGGCATAAACAACTTGACTTGACCAGAAGCAGAGCTTTCAGGCGAGGATTCCTATCCCCCTCGACCCAGGATAGCAGAGGCTTCTTCAGGGCAATCCTTCCTAGCCACCTTGATTATGTGGGTGCAGAAACAGACTTGAAGTTAGAGATCTCAAAAACTGGAAATAGGGGGGGGGGGGAGAGAAGGCATTGCTTTTAGTTGATGGCCCTGGCTACCGATAGGGTAGGGTTAGTGTGGGCATAAAGGAAGTTAGACTGGATCGGATTCGAGGCACTAGGTTCAAACTCACGCCAGCCATTTCCCTAGATGGACTTGGGCTGCTTATTTTCTGGGTGGAGGAGGAGGGTTGCCCGGGCTGACTTGGTCTTGGTGAGACATTATCTTTAACTCCCATGAGCCCCAACCGGAGGACAGTAATGCAGGCGCACAGGTTGGCTATCCAAAAGGTAGCGCATATGGTGCTTTTCCCAGTAGGGGCCAATACACCGCCTCGAGTCCTCAAAACAGGGTGGTCCCTTCACAAAGTGGTCTGTTTTTGAGAGGGACGCGGGCATCAACCCAAAGCCGCCCCCCCCCCCGCTGCCTTTCCTGGACCAGAGAGGTTCCTTTCATCTGACTAAATAATTATAGGAAGCGTCCTATAATTAATTAATAAAATTTCTCGTAGTACTAGTGGTACTGCTACCTAGAACTTACTTGCAGGATAGTTCATAAGACAGCCTTAGCCAATAGCTAAGATTAGAGGGATATTGTGGTCTCATGGCAGGAGACCACAAAATGTGGCACCGGGGCTGCAACTTCCGAAGAATTTTTTTTTTAAAAAAAGACTAGGGCAAAAACTAGGACGCAAATTCCTTTACTTTTAGATTTAATTAAAATGAAAAATAGTTGGTATGTTTCCTCTCTGGTCATGTGAATAATTTTCCTTACCACCTAACCCCCCACTTTGCCCCGTTTTTGTTACGTAAGTATTAACTTTGGTAACACAATCTTTGGAGGTCAGGAGTGGGGAGGAAGATATGCACCCGAGGTTTCCTGGGGTCTTGGATAGAAAATAGGGGTACGGTATTGGAAGGCGCATTTAAAGGCAATTCCCCCTCTGTTTAATCGAAGAATTTGAGACTTTTCAGCCCTATTTGAAACACTTCCTAAAACTCCGATGAATTGTACCCGGCCTTTCTGAGCTCATCAGAATGTTCTCCCTGTTGCATGGGAATAATAAGAAAGTCTGTTGGGACAGCCTTATAACTATCACAGAATATAATAATACTACATTACATTACATTCAGCGATTGTTCGCTTAAGAGCAAGCTCTCCTGAAAGTATTGGCATTTACTTTTGAGTAAATATGCCACAAGATCCGCATCAAATGGTAAATCAC